TAATTAGAAGTATTTGAATTATAGTACAAACTAGGAATACCGGAAATAACGCAATCGGATCAAATGTCCCACTTCGCCTTTGATTCATCGTGTCTTTCCGACCGTGTATTGGATGTAAACTCTGTATAAACCAGAATATGCTCAATAATATTAGAATTAACTAACGAAATTGGAACGAACTCACCTGGGTCCTGGAATTGTATACAATCACCATGTCGGTTGTGTACTCATACCACTGATATCTAGAATTTGAACCACAGATATTCCAACACTATCCTCCCCCACGAAATAATGTTAGATATTCATATCCCCAAGTTATAAATGATGTGGCTTCATTTGAAATATATTTCTTACACTGACTAAATTATTCATTAGAAATGACTTCATGATAAGGAGAAACAAGAGTGGATATGAAATCATACGAATTGTAATCAAGATAAAGTACATTTAGTATTTGTGCGTCGCATTAAATAAGTTTCCCAGGAAATACAGATGAATGATCGAGACAAATAATATTTAATATGACACCAGGATTCGATTCTTCTGAATTATTTTTCTCAAATTTATTAAAAATGCCACTGGAGAGTAATAGATCATTAGAAAAATCAGCATCTATCAAAACTGCATCAGATTTTCGATCATGACTGGATTCATTCAACATATTTTCCTCAGATTGATAAGAAATTTCATCAGAAATATGTGAATCATTGGGACAAACCATAATTAGTACAATAACATAAGAAATCTGATAAGAAGTTGATTGATTAGAAACTTTTATCTCACCATGATCCTGAGTTTCAATTAACTATGGATTGCTATGTGACTCTATGCCGCTTTTTGAAGTCGTGGATAAAGATAGTGCCGATGGACTGGAAAGAAGGACACCTCATCAAGATTACAAAGAACGGAGACCTGAGCAAATGTGAAAACTACAGAGGAATCACACTACTGTCAGTACCAGGGAAAGTCTTTAACAGAGTTTTGCCGAACTGGATGAAAGATGCAGTAGAAGCCCATTTTCGAGATCAACAAGCTGGATTCCGTAAGGATCGGTCGTGCACAGACCAAATTGCAACACTACGGATCATCGTCGAACAATCAGTTGAGTGAAACTCGTCACTGTACATCAACTTCATTGATTATGAAAAGGCATTCGACAGTGTAGATAGGAGGACATTATGGAAACTTCTTCGACACTACGGAGTTCCTGAGAAGATTGTCAATATTATCCGGAACTCATACGACGGACTACAGTGCAAGGTCGTGCATGGATTACAGCTGGCAGATGCATTCCAAGTAAGGACCGGAGACAGACAAGGCTGTCTACTCTCTCCCTTCTTCTTTCTTCTGGTAGTCGACTGGATTATGAAAACGTCCAGATCTGAGAGAAAACACGGAATACAATAGACAGCTCAAAACCAAATAGACGACTTGGACTTCGCAGATGACCTGGCCCTCCTATCGCACACACACGAGCAAATGCAGATAAAGACAGCCAGTGTAGCAGCAGTCTCTGCATCAGTAGGCCTCAGCATACACAAGTGGAAAACCAAGGTCCTCGAATTCAAAACGAAGAACAGCAATCCAATCACATCTGATGGCGAAACTCTGGAAGATGTAGAATCCTTCACATACCTGGGAAGCATCATCGATGAACATGTCGGATCTGATCCAAACATAAAGGTGAGGATTGACAAAGCAACGGCCGCATTCCTACAGTTGAAGAACATATGGAACTCAAAACAACTTTCAACCAATATCAAAGTGAGAATCTTCAATACGAATGTCAAGGCAGTTCTACTGTACGGAGTTGAATCTTGGAGAACTACAACAACCATCATCAAGTATTTATAAATAGTTGTCTACACAAAGTACTCAATATCCGTTGGCCGGGTATCATCAGCAAAAGCCTACTGTGGGAGAGGACAAACCAGCTTCCAGTTGAAGAGGAAATTAGGAAGAGGTTGTAAGCCGATAGGACATTGAGAAAATCATCAAACTGCATCTCGAGGCAAGCCCTAACTTGGAGTCGTGAAGGGAAGCGGAAAAGAGGAAGACCAAAGAACACATTACATTGGGAAACGGAATCAGAAGTGAAAAGGATGAATAGCAACTGGAAGGATTGTCCAGGACACGGTTGGATAGTGCTGGTAGGCGACCTATGTTCCTCCACGAGGAGTAACAGGCGTAAATAAGTAGGTTTAAAAAGTACAAAGGAAACATCTATTGTTCCCTGAAGGAGCTTACATCAAGTCAAGAAACGTGAGAAATACAACTTTCTACTCATTGAGACATAACAAAAAATATATATATATATATTATTGACTTTCTACTCAATGCTTAATTTATTTGAAACTATCAAGTTTAACCTTAGCACTGATACCGAAAAACTGGTATTTTATAGTTTTCTTTAACTTAGTGGTTTCAATGTTTATTGTAAAGTGGCACGAATCTTATCGACTAGATTATGAAGGGAATTGTCGACGAATAACAGTAGTTATTCGAGAAAAATCCATGTTTAGAATATTATTTTCATTAGTTGCACATGTTGACTACAAAATGCAGCTGCGTCTGTCACATCTTAACTACTCGCTTACCGAGTTTAGGTTTATTTAACGCTCTCTGAGGCATATTTTGTGGACGCTTGCAATGTTACCTTAATAACCAAACTGATGTAGATGAAGCGACATTTGAATTCATGAACTATAAACCGAATACTTTCACCGAGTAGCAATTATTCCCGAATGATTTAACTGAAATAACTTCGAAGTATTAATTCATAAAGCAGATGCGTTTACAACCAATGGATTGAAAAAAATGACATGTTCTCTGCAGTAAGTTGTCGACAAATGTTTTTAGGGGAAAAGTTGTGTTGCAGCCTCCCAATGATCACTAACGCAAATTAAGTTGATAAATATGAACGAAGTTAGGCAAGATACACATTAAGTTAACATCATCATCCGATCGTAATAAAGTCAGACAACCACCGGCACCAAAATCAACACTTTAAAACAACTACCATCGAAGCACATTCTGAAAAGACAAGATACCAAACTAAAAAACAAGAAATGAATTCTGAAATGACGAAAATTTTAACTCAAGTGAACTGTGGGTTGGTTAATTTAGTTGTTGACGTCTTATAATCATTTTGAACATCATATTACATGCTTAAGACTACAGTAACATGTACCGTCTGGTAAGGTATCATGGGACTCCCTCCACGAATGGTTAATTTACAATGATAAACTAAAGGTCTATACACAATCACGCTTTTCGCGCTTGAATCATCGTCAGCTGGTGCAAGATTGAACAATTCGCTCTTCTTTGACTTCTCAATCATTGATTGATTAAGCTAAGAATCATTGAGAGAATATCACAAGTCCAGCTGATTAGCAGTTTGTTGTAACGTGTGTGGACTGCAAGTTTTGATAAGCAGCATTTTATTGATCGATTCGGTGACAGTGACACGTACGAACGACCTGGTGTCCTGCTTCGCTGTCTGTCCTAGCCAGTTGAGTCAGGAACACAAGTCACAGCCTCTGAGTTATGAATCATTGTATTTCAGACATACTCTATTTATATACCAAACAAACAAACCACATCGTACCATAAAATAGAAAACAACATTTACACACTATTTAACAAGTGAAATAAACATCGACCAATAGGAAATGTACATTTAAGGTCCAAGGCCACCATAGACTTAACACGATAATTATTGGTAAATTTTTCCTCAGCATCCATAACACACTTCATATTGAGTTCATGTTTTCTTTCAAGTAGTTTGCTACGGGTCATAACAACACCTAAATCACTACGACCTATCAATAAGTGATAACTCGAAATCGTAGTTGGGTTTCACTATTATAATAATCCAATCAAGCTATACTGTCTAAAACATTTTTATTTTAAGTCTTACCATACTAAATAGATTGGTTGGAGAACATTAAGAGTAAAAGCAACAATCTATGATCTGAGGTTGAGTTCTTACCATTGACTGTAGAGGGGTATGATGTTCCCTTACATATATAATATCTCTAAAAATGAAGAAGGGCTAGAAAATATCTACATTTCTTTGCCGCACGAATTTCTATCATTAGCGGAAAGTTCTTGAAAGTACTGAGCTAGCACATTGTGAACTCATAAGTATTAATTGTCTTATTTTTCTTCACAAAAACCTTAATAGGAAGAAGTATCAATTCATGATGTATACGATAGAGAGCTCACAAAAGATGCCATAATTCAAACAGCTCTAAAAGAATCATAAATGACAACTGAACATCAAGAGTCAGTCAGTCAGTAACAACGTAGAAATTCGTACATATGTACATCAGTTCGAGTTGCCACACCACATTAGCATAGACATGCAGTGGTCGATTCAAATCCCGTAGTGGTAGAGGTAATAAAAGTATAAGCAGTAATCGAGAAGATTAGTGTTTGGAGATGTTACTTAAAGAGTATAATACGGTGAAGTAAATTTGAGAGGAGAAAAAAAAGAGACAAGGAAGAATAAGGAGATCAAAATTTGGGAGAACACAAAGAGTGTATGCACCTGCGCCATTGCAAACGATTTTGAGCCATGTCATTCAGGGTCTCTAACCATCGGTTGCTATCATCTCGCGGTCCCCAACCAGGTAGTCTACACCTACCAACATGACTCAGTTCACTTGTCAGTGACTTCATGGATGTGTGCCATGTTTTGGTCTGGCCACCCCTAGCTTTCTTCCAACCTACTCTTATACCACTGAACATTGCACGTCGAGGCAGTCGGTGATTGGGCATACGTAACACGTGTCCCAGCCATCTCATCTGATCAAGTTTCACTACGTCATCAATTGATTTGTCATCCTTACCTAGTACCCGTTTCCTAACAACTACATCACTTACTCGGTAGTCTCAGGATATACGAGCAATGTTTCGAAGTCACCTGTGATCAATTACTAGTAAATTACGAAAATCCTCTACTCTTACCGGCCATGTTTCACTGCCATAAAGTAGGACGGGACGAACTGCTGTGCAGTAAACACGTCCTTTGGTTGATAGACGGATATCTCGCCTACGCCATAAATGACGCAAGTTGGTAAATGCTAGTCGGGTCTCCTGTATCCGTGCTGAGATTTCGTCACACACCAGACCACAAGGGCTGATAAGACTTCCAAGATAAGTGAAGCGAGAATATCAAGAGAGAAAAAACGTTTGAAAAGTACACTGATGGAACAATAATCATTCATAATATTTCTTTTTGACAAAAACAAACAAAACAAAAATAAACTTGAAATCACTATGACCAAAAATGAAAATAAATAACCAGATGAATCTATGTTGTTTTGTTAGCCTTTATAAACAGAAAGAAAGAGAGAAGAAAACAACAACAACAACAATAACATGAAATCAGTGAAAAGAATCTTATCATATGAGAAGCAGCATACATATCTATGGGGGATGGGCAAAGTGTAAGCTGTACAAAAAAAAACAACTACCTATCACAGATGACAACTAAGAACGATGAATAGAAATAATAAAGAGGAAAACTTTATACAATTATAAAACTGTCCAAAAAAACAAGAAAAGGGGGGGATCATATAACTTATTTATCATGTAATAATGTGTATCGGTTTATTTGTATACAATTTTTCATTGTTGTTTTATGTATGTGCGTGCGTGTGTATATAACGTGAAAGGGGTTTACAATCTAATGGTTAAATACAACATAAATATTTCAATTATTTAATTATCATCATTATGAAGAGATAATAAAGAGAAAATTTGATTAATCCAATAACAACAATTAAGAAAAAACAAACAAACAAACAAGCGAAAGAAAAAAACAGAATAAAAAAAAACTTTTTTAGAAGAAAATTAATAAACAAACAATAAAAAGAATATTTATCATCGTAAATTATATTCAATCTCTTTTTCATACAATTTTATTGTCTACAATCAATATTGTACGTTCGTTTACAATTGATGATGGTGATGGGGGTGAAGAAGTATTAGAGGATGTATCATGTATGATAGATGATGATGATGATGGTGTACGATCAACATGTTCTTCTGTACCATTATTATTATTATTATTATTATTATTATTATTATTATTATTATTATTATTATTATTATTATTATTATCAGAAAGATGAAGTGGAGGAGGAGGTGATGATAAATGGTCATTGCTTATTGTTGTATTTGTAGATTGTTTATCTAAATTATTTGATGAATTTGATGTCATAGCAGTAGTAGTAATAGTAGTAGTATTAGTAGTAGTATCGGTTAAGTTACGATTTGTAAAAAACAATTCATTTGTAATTGATGATGATATTGTATTACCATTATTATTATTATTATTGTTATTATTACTATTATTATTATTATTATTAAATGGTGTTTTTGGTGATAAACTTAAATAATTAGTTGTAACTGTAGCAGATTTATTAGAAATAATACGTTTATCATTAAATTCATCCATACCGAAACGTTCATTGTTTGAAGATCCAATTGCTATATTACCACGTGATACAATACCATTAATATTTGGTTCTGATGAACATTTATGTAATTTTGGTAATGAACGATATAATGAATCTAAACATGGATAAATCTATATAATGATATGATTGAAAGAAACAAAAGAAAAATAGGACCTCAGTAAATGAAACTGATTAGGAATAATCTAACAAATAGAATATTTACAGCTGAAAGGGAAATAATTCGATCGTTTACTAAATTTCTCTGATGAATGATTTAATCTAAAGTTGGTTGGATGATAAGCAAAGATGGATAGTGGTTAGCAGTGAAATCTAGTTTGATGAGCGTTTCGTCTTATGTGGGACTCATCAGTTGGATTTATCTGCATCCCAGAATTGGTTTTCATTCTGAGACTCGAACCCAGTACCGTTCGCTTTAAACGCTATCGCGTTATCCACTTAGCTACTGAATCCTGATACAAATGAATTCGATCAGATTATATTTGAGAATAGTTTACATTAAGAATTGGACTAACTTCAGACAAACAATTTAACAAGTACTATAAGGAGAATTATTAGAAGTGAGAATCCATGACTAATTGTATTCAATCACGAAATAAGGCATTACTAGAAGTAATGAAAGGTATTTGTAGAGTATTATGGGTTGATTAAAGATAGTGCTTTCGTTTTTTATAAAAGTCAAAGATAACAGGTTTGATGAATGATATACAATGTGAGGACTGTTAAGATTATAAGAACTTCAGAGAATTTCTGTAGGTATACTTTTAAATTAATTGACATAGATCCAATATATCAATTCATACAGGAAAGGTTAACCAGTCATATGGTTAGAGGTCAATCAAAGACAATATGGTCAGTAGGAGTGTAAAAACAAGTGAAGAAAACAAGACCATCAAGACGAAGATGTTGCATAGAACGACAATGAAGACTTAATAATAATGCCATTCAATGGAAAAAAACACATAACACCAACAAGCTCTATAAAGTTATCATTGTCAGAATATTACAGAATGTTTCTCTAAGTCTGTTCAAAATAAACTCGGAAAAACCGTACACTTAATGGTTCATTGGTTAACAAATAAACACTCTTCTAGAGACACCTTAAATAACGTTAGATTTATGAGATTTTTTTCTTCTCATCGATATGTTGAGTGATCGTATCTTACGGTGGAGTTTTGTTCTCTGAGCTGGATGGTTTGGTCGTGGAGCTTTCATCGTTCTTCTGAACGACATCATCAGCACAAACTTCAGATAGAAGTGAAGTGTTTGAATTTCTCCATATGTGTCTCAAAGCTTGTTCTGTGCACCTCGACGTTGATTGGTTCTTATTGACCTTAAATTTGTCGTTGTTTACTTCTTTGTTTTGGTTGTGTCTCCCATTGTTTTGATTTTTGTTCTTATGTTTGTGCATGATTTTTCTGATTGGTTGATAAATTGGATTGATTTCAATATGCTTGTTGATTGCTGATTGACCTGAGTGCCAGGCTTCTAAAAATTCTCTGATGTTTTTGGAGTTTCCTCTGTCTAAGATTTCCACATTTTTCCAATCGAATGAGTGTCCGCAGTTGTCCACGTGTATTGATATAAGTGAAGAGATATCATGCCGTTTGACTGCTAATTGATGTTCATGTAGGCGAAGGTGAAGGGGGCGTCCACTTTGTCCGATGTAGTGTTTTTCGCAGTTGGCACAAGTTATCTTGTAGATGATGTTTGATTTGTTTTCCTTTGTTATTTCATCTTTTGGTTTGCATAAGATTGATTGTAGTGATTTTGTCGGTTTGTGTGCCACACCTATTCCGAAGGTTTTCAGCAGTCTCGTCGCGGTTTCTGATATTCCTTGTATATATGGTAGGGTGATCCTTTTGTTGATTTTTGTGCTTGACTTGAGTTCTAATGCTGCGTGCGGTTGGTATTTTTTTTTGATGAAGTTGATGGGGTAGCCGTTCTTCTGAAATACATCCTTTAGGTATTTCTCTTCATTTCTTCGTGCTGCCAGTGTGTTGCAGTGTGTCCTCGCCCTCTTGAACAAATTGTGTACGCAGTTGATTTTGTGAGCTCTGGGGTTGTTGCTATTGTAGTTGAGAATTTGATCCGTATGTGTCGGTTTCCTATATACTTGAGTTTCCAGTTTTCCTGTGTCGGTTCTAGTGATCAATATATCCAAGAATGCTAGTTGGTTGTTTGATTCCTGTTCCATGGTGAACTTGATGTCATCGAAGACGTTGTTGATCAGGTTGTAAGTGTTTTCTAGTTCATTCTTTTTGACGATGACGAAGGTGTCGTCTACGTAGCGAATCCAAATTTTTGGTTTGATCACTGGTAATATAGCGGCTTCTAGTCTTTGCATCACTGCCTCTGCGATCAATCCTGATATTGGTGATCCCATTGGTGTCCCTTTCGTTTGTTCGTAGATTTTGTTGTTGAATTGAAAGTATGTTGTTAGGCATAAATTGATGAGTTCCTGTAGACTTTGAATTTGAAGCTTCGTGTATTTAGTGAGGTTTGTGTCGTTGTTGAGCAGCAGGGATATAGTTTCTTTTGCTAATTTTGGTTCAATTGAGGTGAATAGTGCTGTCACGTCGAAGGATATCATCAGTTCGTCGTTGTTGATTTGGATGTCCTTAATTTGGTCCAGGAATTGTGTAGGGGATTTGATTGAGTGGTTGGCTGAATCTACTAAATGTCTCAGTATTCTTGAAATTTCTTTTGACAAATTGTACGTTGGTGTTCCGGGGAGTGCTACAATTGGACGTAGTGGGATGTTTGGTTTGTGTATTTTGGATCTACCGTAGAATCGAGGAAGTACTGGTCCGTTGGATTTCATTCTCCATTGTTCTTGTTTTGTTATTTCTCCTGCTTTGACTAGCTTGTTTAAGGTCTTTAAGATTTGGTTGTCTAATTTTTTGACGGGATTTGTATCCATCAGTTTGTATGTGCTCTTATCTTTTAGTAGTTCTTCGGCTTTTTTGACGTATTCTTCTTTGTCCATGATTACTGTGGTGCGTCCCTTGTCCGCTGGTATTATGACAATATCCTTTCTATTTTTGAGTTCTTTTAAGGCCTTTTGTTCTTGTGGAGTCAGTTGGTTGTTTTCCTTCGCACGTTGAGTTAGCGGTACTATAGTTTGCCTTATTTCTTGTTGTGTTTCTTCACTGATTCCCGAAGTTTTGAGTGATGACTCCAGTGCTGCGAAGAATCCCAGCTTTGAGGCGTCGCTTGTATTGTAGTTTAATCCTTTTTGGAGTAGGTGCTCTTCCGTATTTGTTAATGGTTGTTTTGACAAATTTATCACGCAGTTGTTTGTGTTTTCTTCCATGGGTGGTTTTGAGATCTTGATCAGTTTTTTCTTTAAGGCGTTCCTTCTTTGTTCTCTATGTCGTTTGCATGATATCTCGATGGCCGTTGTCAAGATTTCCAAGTGTTTTGACGTAAGTGTCCTGTGTAGCTTCATCTTTTGGTCCTCTATGACGTGTTGGTATTTGCGGATTCTGTAGTGTGCATCCGTTATCATTAGGTGTACCATTTTTCTTCCACTTTGCTCAGCTATTTTCCATCCTAATGGGCAGTTGATTGGAGGTCTATATCTTACACTTGTTGGTAGAACATGCTGGCGAAGACACTCATGGAGAAAATATAGTTGTTCTCGAGTGGAAGCCTGCCTTTTGGCGAAATTCTCCCATTTTCGAACAACGAGAAGTGTATTACGCTCATATCGTATTATGCTCATATGATCTCAAAATCATATGAACGTAATACACTTCTCGTTGTTCGAAAATGGGAGAATTTCGCCAAAAGGCAGGCTTCCACTCGAGAACAACTATATTTTCTCCATGAGTGTCTTCGCCAGCATGTTCTACCAACAAGTGTAAGATATAGACCTCCAATCAACTGCCCATTAGGATGGAAAATAGCTGAGCAAAGTGGAAGAAAAATGGTACACCTAATGATAACGGATGCACACTACAGAATCCGCAAATACCAACACGTCATAGAGGACCAAAAGATGAAGCTACACAGGACACTTACGTCAAAACACTTGGAAATCTTGACAACGGCCATCGAGATATCATGCAAACGACATAGAGAACAAAGAAGGAACGCCTTAAAGAAAAAACTGATCAAGATCTCAAAACCACCCATGGAAGAAAACACAAACAACTGCGTGATAAATTTGTCAAAACAACCATTAACAAATACGGAAGAGCACCTACTCCAAAAAGGATTAAACTACAATACAAGCGACGCCTCAAAGCTGGGATTCTTCGCAGCACTGGAGTCATCACTCAAAACTTCGGGAATCAGTGAAGAAACACAACAAGAAATAAGGCAAACTATAGTACCGCTAACTCAACGTGCGAAGGAAAACAACCAACTGACTCCACAAGAACAAAAGGCCTTAAAAGAACTCAAAAATAGAAAGGATATTGTCATAATACCAGCGGACAAGGGACGCACCACAGTAATCATGGACAAAGAAGAATACGTCAAAAAAGCCGAAGAACTACTAGGAGATAAGAGCACATACAAACTGATGGATACAAATCCCGTCAAAAAATTAGACAACCAAATCTTAAAGACCTTAAACAAGCTAGTCAAAGCAGGAGAAATAACAAAACAAGAACAATGGAGAATGAAATCCAACGGACCAGTACTTCCTCGATTCTACGGTAGATCCAAAATACACAAACCAAACATCCCACTACGTCCAATTGTAGCACTCCCTGGAACACCAACGTACAATTTGTCAAAAGAAATTTCAAGAATACTGAGACATTTAGTAGATTCAGCCAACCACTCAATCAAATCCCCTACACAATTCCTGGACCAAATTAAGGACATCCAAATCAACACCGACGAACTGATGATATCCTTCGACGTGACAGCACTATTCACCTCAATTGAACCAAAATTAGCAAAAGAAACTATATCCCTGCTGCTCAACAACGACACAAACCTCACTAAATACACAAAGCTTCAAATTCAAAGTCTACAGGAACTCATCAATTTATGCCTAACAACATACTTTCAATTCAACAACAAAATCTACGAACAAACGAAAGGGACACCAATGGGATCACCAATATCAGGATTGATCGCAGAGGCAGTGATGCAAAGACTAGAAGCCGCTATATTACCAGTGATCAAACCAAAAATTTGGATTCGCTACGTAGACGACACCTTCGTCATCGTCAAAAAGAATGAACTAGAAAACACTTACAACCTGATCAACAACGTCTTCGATGACATCAAGTTCACCATGGAACAGGAATCAAACAACCAACTAGCATTCTTGGATATATTGATCACTAGAACCGACACAGGAAAACTGGAAACTCAAGTATATAGGAAACCGACACATACGGATCAAATTCTCAACTACAATAGCAACAACCCCAGAGCTCACAAAATCAACTGCGTACACAATTTGTTCAAGAGGGCGAGGACACACTGCAACACACTGGCAGCACGAAGAAATGAAGAGAAATACCTAAAGGATGTATTTCAGAAGAACGGCTACCCCATCAACTTCATCAAAAAAAAATACCAACCGCACGCAGCATTAGAACTCAAGTCAAGCACAAAAATCAACAAAAGGATCACCCTACCATATATACAAGGAATATCAGAAACCGCGACGAGACTGCTGAAAACCTTCGGAATAGGTGTGGCACACAAACCGACAAAATCACTACAATCAATCTTATGCAAACCAAAAGATGAAATAACAAAGGAAAACAAATCAAACATCATCTACAAGATAACTTGTGCCAACTGCGAAAAACACTACATCGGACAAAGTGGACGCCCCCTTCACCTTCGCCTACATGAACATCAATTAGCAGTCAAACGGCATGATATCTCTTCACTTATATCAATACACGTGGACAACTGCGGACACTCATTCGATTGGAAAAATGTGGAAATCTTAGACAGAGGAAACTCCAAAAACATCAGAGAATTTTTAGAAGCCTGGCACTCAGGTCAATCAGCAATCAACAAGCATATTGAAATCAATCCAATTTATCAACCAATCAGAAAAATCATGCACAAACATAAGAACAAAAATCAAAACAATGGGAGACACAACCAAAACAAAGAAGTAAACAACGACAAATTTAAGGTCAATAAGAACCAATCAACGTCGAGGTGCACAGAACAAGCTTTGAGACACATATGGAGAAATTCAAACACTTCACTTCTATCTGAAGTTTGTGCTGATGATGTCGTTCAGAAGAACGATGAAAGCTCCACGACCAAACCATCCAGCTCAGAGAACAAAACCCCACCAAAATCATCCACCTGAGCTACAAATCTTCTCCACCATCTCAAGATCGTATCTTATTTTTGTACTCGGCTTTAAACTATACAGCTTAAATGATTATACTCAAGTACATGAAGTAGAGTTAGAATATTTAACGTAGTGAGTGAAAGTCAGTAGTTTTCTGCTAGACACGACTATAGGATTGTAGACTGATTAATCTGTGATGAGCCACCGTACATTAAGACTATTTTGTTGACGTTCGTGAGATTATCGTGACCAATGGTTGGAGACGTTGAGTGTTATGACTTAGATACATTTACTCTATCTTCTCTTAATTCCTGAGTTTGCAAACTATTTCACACGTTTCATACTGCAAATTTATTCTTCCCTGCCAAATTGTATAGTCTATGTCAAATCTTTCTAATTACCAATCATACTGTTACTACTTCTACTATTTTAGCGTTCATCTTGATAATTTTATCTCGCAGTTAGTATAGACCAATGTACATATACTTTCACAAAGCCACATGTATACAGTCACTGCCTTCTCGCACCAGGGGTGTTGTTTACAAAATTAAGAGGACGAAAAGCGAATGTCTCGCACACTAACCAATTTTCTGGATACGAATGATGCACCTAGGGGAGTTGGAAAACGCTAATTCTAAACCAATGGTTCACATAGGCTAAATGGGTTTGAGAGAACAAATGGCGTATGTACTTGTTTTTGGTCACCGGCTTCCATCAGATTGCATCTCCTTACGTTGCTCCACTGCCTTATGTATCAGACCTTTAGGTCGAAGGCACCAGGTATGACCCTCTAAGAAAACCACCTGCTTGGGTCTAGGTACCCGGGCAGTATCACAGGCCACACACAAATCAAGTGACTTGTGCCCTCTTTTACTTATGTTTATGTTTTCAAATAAATAAAATACATGTTTTATATTGTTGATGATTAATTGACGATGTGACATGAACTAATTATTTGGAATACAAATTAAGCTAAACTAAAAGTTTTTTATTAATTAGATTCTAGGTAAACATTGATTGCGTAAAAGTTCACATACACAATAAAATCATGAAAATTAATTAACATTAAAACAAAGAAAACAATGTTTAGTTTACCTGAGAGAATGGTGGTCGATTTTCACGTTGAAAACTGCAACAATCTAATGATAAACGTTGTAATTGATGAGGAATATCTGCACGACATACAGTTAGATCAGGTTTTAATAAACCTCGACCAACAAGAAATAAAATTTGATCACGATTATTGTAATGAGAATAAGGTAGTTGACCAGTAATCAATTCATAAATCACTACACCATATGCGTATACATCTGAAAGATTAGTATACGGTGTTTCACCTTCCATACGAATAACTTCAGGAGCCTAATAAAAATAAATGTTAAAGGATGACACGATGAATAAGATGAAGTAAATCAACTGTTTCTAGGTAATGTAACAAGTAAAAATGTGAATTAATCTTTAAGTAAGCCTGTATTATTATTATTATTCTACTTACCATCCAAAATATAGATCCAGTTGGTTGTTGACAACCAGTATTCCACCAACGACTTTTTACTGTGGCCAAACCAAAATCGCCAATTTTCACAGTACGATCATGTAAGAATATATTACTTGACTTTAAGTCACGATGTATTATATTCTTAGCGTGTAAATAACTAGAGAATGGATACATGAAAAATTTTTAATAGGAAATAGGACAAAATCATTGGAGTATTTCAGTCATAGAAATCTATTAGTATAGGCAAGTGGGGTGTTGTGGAGATTATTTAACTGTATTTTTACATTATAGACTGATTTTAATTAGATAACCATACTGGAAACAAAACAAATATCCAGTGCCTCCTGGATTTTAGTCTTTTTTTAGCAAATTCAGTCTATCATGTGAAACCATAAGAATTCCATTGGATTACATATTTATACATTCGAATGATAAGTCCGTAGGTTGTAATGAAACGTGTCTCCTTCAGAGCCACTTTAATATTAGGTTTTACTGTTTCATGACAGAGAAATTTAATCGCTGATAAATGTAATCCATCCAGTTGGAGACCGGGAATAAAACAATATATATACGTAATACAGTTAATTCCTAATAGATAAAATCCAATGGATTATAGATGCACTATTGCACTGTCATCGAGTGGTAAGCGATTCCTGCCGGTAACCTCGAACAGCCTAACATCTCATAGTAGTGCACGCAATGTCGAATAATAAAGATTAGTACTTATAATGATATATGATTGGTAAAATCGGATCATCACTAAAGAAATTTTAAAAAAACATGAGCAGTCAATGTAATTGTTTCAGTCTTACGAGTCACTCGTAGCTCCAATGACCTAGTGGGAATGTTTCAGATCATAAAGCTGGGTCATCCCTGTTCGAATCCACTAATTATTAGTTTAGTTAAGACTGCCAATTAAAATTAAACCTAGGTTCAGAGTTTTCTGTCTACCACCTCAAACCACCTGACATTTTAAATGGTCCTGTTAAATGCTTCCAGGTTGATATAAGAGACGATTTAACTGTGAGGTAAAAAGCTTTCGGATTAGGCGCCACACCACTCAACATTATGAATGGTCAATTCCCGAGGATACTATAAAAGATTCCATATATCCACTCACCATCGACTGGAGCGGGAAATAAACTTCTGTCATGTTAAACAGTTGCAAGCTTAGTGCTAAAATTATTGAGGAATATTCGTGTTGCGTTCACAAATGAGTTGACATTTCGATTTGCGCAGCTAGTAAATTGGGAATTATATTGTCATATCGCATGATAACCTTTGTTTGTAATTTAGTCAAAATCTTCTAAGGAGGAATCAAATTATCTAGATTTGCTGTTAGTAAACTTCAATTCTAGTGAATAATTAAGTTCTTGATAGCTTCCAACTTATAATATCACGCTGTTAACCTTTTCTATTTTCTGAATAGTTATTTCCCGTTTTAGTATCCTACTTTGTTACACGTTTACAATGTCATTGCTATTACAACATAAACAGAATGATTATGTCACATTACAACTTAGTTTAGATGTGAATGAAGGTAGTTGACAACTTTGGACCTAGGTTTCGTAGTATATGGCAAGCATTAGCAAGGACTATCTGTAATTTTGAGGGGACTTCTATTGTCTGGTGGACACGGTCTAGCATTACTTAGCGTCACAGTCTAAAACATTACCACTGAGCTATTCGAGCCGCAACTGATCACCTGCAGGAGTGAGATATTCACACCTGATTGACCACTGATTAGTGTCATGTTATGATAAATATGACATTGTCCACTACTCGATAATCAATCGATTGTATGTTACGACTCCATTTTGAGAAAAATGAAGCTCCTTTGAAGGTATCATCTTATCGCTCTCTTTTTGTTGATTCGCGTGTGGATTATTAACATTGACATGTTGTTGCGTATGAATCGTTCGTTCACGTAGATTCCGTTTTATATTGTAAGAATATCTTAATAGTTCAAAACCTATAGTAAAATGATTTTGGATCATTCAAATACAGTATAATTCTAATCATTCGATTGGTGAAGTGTCAAATATAATTCACGTGGTAAATATTATTTCATTTATATATTATTTACAAACAATATGCTAGGTTTTGACAGGTGACTGAATTATATTTAGATTAGCGCTAATTGTATTGACAAAAATGGTAAGAATTGTATCGAGGATAAACACTCGTAAATGATGAGGAAGTTCTAGATAAAAATACTTCAGAGAAAGTCTCAAAGCATTATATCAATAGAAACAATGACATATATCTGATTCATCATGTTATAAGGAGAACGCCAACCACATGGTCAAGGTCAACAGGAGTAAGCAGTTAACGAAAATTAAGATGCATGGAACTAACACGACTCGAACAGATACTCCGTTGCAAACAAGGCGATCAGCAGGACCAATTGATTTAGAGTTTGTTAAATGGTTATTAGATAAGTTAGGGAGGTCAGTGCCTAACACGAACTAGTGAAAACAATGCAAAGTTACTTAAATCAGTCGATTTACAGTACACATACCAGTGAACAACATAGAAAGACGACAAATCCACTACAAAATGAAACACTTACTCCATTCCCTGTGATGTTTGCTTGGCAATATCGACTAGTTCTGGAACATCAAAACGATGCTCTAACACATGAAGATGTTTATACAAACTGGACCCTTCACACCATTGAGTGATGATAGCTATACATGGTTTAGAGACACAACCCATAAATAAAAGAATATTTTCATGTCGTGTCTTTCTAAAATTAAAATGTTAAAAATAATAATAATAAAATGAAGAAACAAAGAAATTCTCAAACAAAAAATAACCAAAATCAGTTTTATTTTATTTATTTATTTTAACACATGGATATTGGTACAAGGATGCACCAAATATATATGCGCCACACAGATCTCATTTCATATGTTTGAGTGCTGTGATTTTCTTAGGGGGCCATACCCGGAGCCTTCGACCTAAAGGTCTGATCCACGAGGCAGCGGGTCAACGTAAGGAGATGCAGTCCCATGGTGGCCGGTGACCAACGATAAATTCATACGCCATTTGTTCCTTCAGGATACTGGAGCCAATGTGCACCATTGGTTTGGAATCACGGTTTTCCAACTCCCCCAGGTGGACTCTCCATGTCCACCAACCCGGTTAAAGCGCCGGACATTCGCTTTTCGTCCTCTCATTTTCGTAAACAACACCCCCGCCACGAGAAGGCAATGATTAGGACTTCCCTGGCAGATGCTATATACGCGTGGCCATGTGAGAGCATTTCGAGAGGGAGAACGGACTCTCCCCACTCTCGGCCGTACCAGGGCATTTGGGGGCCATAAGTGTAGTGTCAGGAGTGGGATTCGAACCCACGCCCACAGAGTGGACTGCGACCTGAACGCAGCGCCTTGGACCGCTCGGCGATCCTGACCACTTTATAGCATAATAGGTAGTCAAGTTATCCTAGATGTTACATAACATATCCTTGGTACAATATATGACTTGTCCAGCTTGTCAGAACAGACAATAAATTCAAGTTGATAAATAGTATGTGGACTTAGTAACAAACCACTAATTTCTCTAATGATTAAGAACTAGTGCCCCCAAATGCCAAGTCATATATTGTACCAAGGATGTGTTATGTAACATCTATGATAACTTGACTACCTATTATACTATAAAGTGGTCTATCAGCAGTTAATAGTGTGTAGATTTTTCCAATTAGAAAATAATCTTCATCATGGATTGATAACAACAACAAATGAATAATTTGGATTGAAAATTAAACAAGAACGTGTGATTTAAAAAAAATAGTAATTACCTCAATACACTGACTTCATTTTTGAAAGCTTTCAATTGTTGTGGTGTAGGATCAACAACATTCAATTCTTTAATAGCAACATTTCCATGCCAATAACCTTTAAATACAGTACCAAATGATCCAGAACCGATTCTTGGACCTTTAGTAATTTCTTGTCCATTTATCTCCCATTCATCATTTGAACCACGTCTCTAGCGATAACAAATATAATTTGCATCCACATGGAAAAGATGAGTATAAGGCAAAAAAAAGGTGGAAATATATGAATATACATTTATTTACTCAGTTTTTTGATTAAAATTTTTAAACTAAAACTGGGGTTTATCTTGCGTGAAGTGTAATAAATGAAAGAATACTAATGAATAAAGTCAGTTAATCCCAACGTCAGACCTGGTACGTATGCACATTGGTTCAAGTTGCCATACCCCGTTAGCACATAGAGATAAAGTTGTCAGGCTAAATCCCAGAATAGTAGAGATAGTAACAGTATTAGTGGCAATAGAAAATTTTAGGCATTGAAGATACGATTCAAAATATAAATTAGTGAAATATAAACACAAGAAAGGTTAAGAGGAATTCAGAAGCTCAGAATTTCGGGGAAGACAAAGAATAGATGCACCTGAGTCACTGCAAACGATTCTGAGCCATGTTATTCAAAGTCTTAAACTATTGGTTATGATAATCACATGAATGAAGTTAGACTGTTGTTTTAAAAAAGCAACAAACTAATGAACTAGTGATGAATTTAATATAAGATAGTTGGATATAATCGACAGACAGTCGATTATAATCAAAGTAGAACCTGGTACATATGTGTATCGATTCACGTTGCCACACCATATCAATACAGTGAGATGAATTCATCAAGATAAATTCCAGAGTGGTAGAAGTACCAAGCGTATCAATGCTAAAAGAAAAGATCAGGCATGAACAATATGATATGAGAAAAAATAATGAACTTTCAAAATAGAAAGTGTAAGACAAAAAGTGGATGGATTTGTACCATTGTGACGGTCTTTCAGTCACGCCACTCAGCGTCTCCAACCATTGAGTTAAGATAATCTCGAGGAATCCAACCAGATAATCTGAACTTATCAAAATAACTCAGGCCTAAAGTTAAAAATTTCATGAACTGATGCCATGTCTTGTATTAACTACACCTAGATTTCGACAGAAAATTCAAGATATAGGGTTTTGTGTTAGCTGGAATTCATCAGGAAGATAATTTTCTTTAGAAATTTCAGAAAATTGATGCTAAAAACCTATCAAATGTAGGTTCAAGTACTCAGCTTTGAGTCAAACTCTGTCAAAACACAAGTACAAGAAAGAGCTAATATCAATATCCGTCTAAGTTGGAGTGGATAGAATAGTGTTTGAATCTGTTTGAAAGAAATCGAATACGTTAATTACTACATTGCGCCGCTCTAGGAAGTATGGTTCCTGAGATCATCGATGTGATACAAGTCTGGGGAAGGATGACAATGATGTTCTTGAGTAAAAAAGTTTGATTTTCATTGATTCATGAACATTCGCAATGTTAGAGATAGACGTAGGGCATTATCGAAGGATGGTAAATCGATTGATGAGGCAGTAAACCTTCGTCTATGGAGGTGGTTGGGACATGTATTACATATAACCAACTACCACCTGCCTCAACATGTGATATTTACTGGTGTAGAAATAACTTAGAAGGAAACTAGGGGCAGCGAAAAGGTGTGGCACTAGTCTAAAAAATCACTAACGATTGGACTAAGCCATGGAGATATATGTAGATTATCTGGTTAGGTTTGTGCGATTATTGTAGGTAATGGTTGGCGACTTTAGATGACATGCCTCAGAATCACTTGCAGCGGCCCAGGTGCATTCACTGTCTTTGGTTAAATTCTAATTTTTCAAATTACCTTATACATCTTTTTTATTTGACTAATCAATATTTTCTTCTCGGAAAATATCTTTTCTGCTTGGTCTTTTTTAATACTACTAATACTGATACTACCTCTACTACCATTGGATGTGCCTTAATAATGTTATTTCGCTGTTATTATTCAGCAACTTGAACTGATATACATATGTGCCAGGTTCTACGTTGTGCATGGCTGACTCACAACTAACTCCCTCTAAAGTAAATCAATGATGTTAGTATAGGATTCTAAACATTCACACTGATTATTGAATCAATGGGCAAACATAATATGTGGTATATTACATGAATGTTCATACATAACTATAATCAAAACTCTAATTTTTCTTGTAAATATTAAAGACTCAATAGAAACACAACATCAATATGTAGTTTTTAGCTAAAGTCTTTGAAAATCAACGAGCTGTTTAATTTCAGCATGGAACATTCTTTATCACAGTGTATAATGTTGTCAGATAATGAACCAGAATCTTGATATATCCTCCTTGACAATAATATTTTTAGTGCACAAACAAAACTTCATCGATGTACATATATAAACATTTTTTTTTAAAAAAAAAAGAGAATAAAAATTTACATTTTTTACTTTGATAGATTGTTTTGGATCACTGCCAGATCTTTGATTATATGGTATAGATAAATTTGATAGAAAACAACCATCATTGGGAATTGATGGACTTTCTGGTACTCCATTACCAGTTGTATAATTATAATCTATATAAAATAAATGAACAAAAATAAAATGAAAGTATACGATCTGGACGACTTTGAGAGACCTACCAGCCAATTAGGAAACAGGATTTAGGTATTAAAAAACTTTGACGATAAATAATAAAATTTCAGTGAAATAATAGTTGAAATAATCATTATACTAAAAGAGGAAAAAAGTTAGATCTACATTTTAAAAGTTAAGCTAGTGTTGTGAATTAGGTTTGTAATCCTATAGGGTTTTTGTCCCTAACCTATGTAATAAGCTATAATTCATGTAGGCTTGGGTGAGGTAATAAGTGTTGAGCTGAAATTACAAGTTGGAATTAAGATTAGGGTTTTCATCACAAATTAACATCAATTATAATGCGACAAAGCCTTACAGCCATTTTGTTTACGAACTTAATAAATGTAGAGCTGTTACTTAAAGTGAGTAGCACGAGCTTAAACACTATGTTATACTGACTGTTTGGTTACGTGGTAAATACTTGTTTGTCTTAGGAACAAAAGGTGTTGCCGATTTTCATCCAATCAATAATAATATACAAGATGTTCGACTGCGCAAAAGTCCACAATGCACTATCGCAATCCTGACTGGTTCACTCAAGGCCGTCAGTACCGTATAGTTTCAACGAAAATTATTTGTCTTGTTAAGACGTCATAACCTACGAAAGTCTTTATTATTTAGCTACTTCTCATTATATATTAAATGTTCCTCAACAGCTTAAAGACTGACAATTAAAGATGAGATTTTAAAGCAAAGCATCACTGATTAGATATTAAATGAACAATATATTTAAGACTATCATTGATGTTAAGCAATGAGATCAGATACATACATATGAAGCAGTATAGAATCTGGAATTTGCCCATTTACATATCACAGAAGAAGTGTAAGAAATAATGAAAATGAAATCAGTGACAATCTGTTAACGAGAAAGTAAGGTAAAAACAGTTCGGAACGAAAAAAATTAATGAATACATTTGTCATATTGAGGGTCATAGGTGATGAAACTCACTGAAACACAATAACCACCTTGGATAAACTGAAAGACCAATATCAAACTACAAGTACCTATCTACCTACCGATCTGTACTGACCAACCACTTCGGATTATAAATGGCTAAGGATGCTTATTGTTCTATTGAAGTAGCAGCCAGTCCATGCTCAATATTAATTACGCGCTTTTCGTACACTTGTTTTAAAACCCTGAACACATATTATGATGGACTGACTTATCAATGATTAACAACTCAGATCATTATACATTTAATGATCCAAGAAATAATTAAGTGTATTATTATTGCAACGCTACGTGTAAATGATTCAATTACACATAGAATCTGTTTAATTTATTCCCAAAATCTATACTGAAGATATGATACTGATCGAGTGCTAATGTCTATAAAATAATGCCTCAACGGATATTTAGTAGTGCTCGCAGAGTGACAAGGAAAGTCTTCGTCAAAACAGTTTCTAATGCTTTGAAAGAAGCCGATTACACAAGGACAACACTGATGACTAAATACTATTAATATTATCATAGAACACAAATAAAAAGTTCATTGAAAGCGATAGTTGATACGAACTAATCAAGAGGCAAGAATAAGACGAAGAAGAGGTTCGTAGTGTTATAAAAAAGGAATATCATGTTAAAGTGCGGTGATTTGCGACTGATCCGATCAATTGATGTACAGATAAGATCAAGTCACGACTAACCGCATAACCCAAATATTAACAAAATGCCCACCCCCTCAAATTAATAGAGAATAAAAGACGATAACCAGCCAACAAAATGCCACACAAACGAAATATTTAACATGTAAACATACATGATTAAGAGTCAGTATACCACGAGAACTTTTTAAATTATTCACCAGGTAATTTAATCTAAACATGACTATAAGAATTAATTTCTGCTATTTACATTATTCAATTATCCGACCACAGCCTAATATGGAGTGAGAAGATTGATTTTAGTAATAATTATGACAACAGTAATAATAATAACACCATGTTTGTAACTAGTAAAATTTTGTAGTACCCAACTCCCGGTTTGCCAACACCAGCATATGAATGCTACTCAAGATATAGTAATAAAAGACTCATATTGAGCTGGGAGGAGGGAAATTAGAATTTACTAACCAAAACACTTGGTACCTAGTTAAAACAAGCGTAGTGAAATGGATAATCGGTTTATCACTGTATTACATCACAGGTCGCAACTCTTCATGACAAATGATCATAAATTAAAGTTAGACTAAATATTTCCTCAGAAACACTGCCGAGACTATTTCACTTTAATTGCTTATCACTGGGTGAGTGTTAAGACTAGTGTCTTTCAATGCAAAAGCAATATGATATATATAATGGTGCAATGATGTAGTGAACGAGAAAATACTTACTTGTAACCGGATATACAATGTGTAAAGGGGATCCTTGAATAATTTTATTCGCCTCTCGCTAAAAAATTGTATACAGAAGTAGAGGGTAGAAAACATAACAGCATCAACTGAATCTGAGGTTAAAATGAGAAAATTATTCATAACCATGTCCCATAAACAAACAATTTGAATATCATGTATTACAACTAAACACACTTGTATGAGCACACATAAATAACTCAAGAAATGTAAAACAAGTTTCCTAACTGGGTAGAAATGTGTAAATCAATAACCAGCTACCCAAACGAAATGTTTGAAATAAAATAACCAGAAAAAAGGAAGTGTTTTACAAACTACACAGTTGTGTCAAATAAAACCAATAAAGTGGTTCTGTGAAACCTACTGAAGAATCCATTGAAGCACAGAATGACCGCACCCGACGTATGCCAAAATATGTAGTTGGTGAGAGAGATAGCTTTGATATATGATCTGGGCATAAATTTTGGTTTGGTGAATAAAATCTTTCAGGTAGTAGTAGGATTTTGTAGTCTTGTGAGGTCGGCTCTTGTTTATTAGATAAATTATGTGTTTTACGTGAAAGACTACGGAGACTGGTATTATCTGTCAACACTATATTCAAAGGATTCTCAGAAAAAGCTTCGTACAATGAGCACGATGTAGATAGTTGGCTGGTTGTTGAAAACGTTTCTTTAGAAGTATTTTTTGTAGGAAGAGGAAGGGAATGGAGACCGATTGGTTGGCAATTTTCATAGATACCGCTTGATGACTTACTACTATTACTACTACAACTACTAACATGAAGCTTTATAGTAGTGTCACATCCAATAGTTAGTAATCTACCATATGAATTATAAGGAACATGAAGATGACTCTTATAAGCTACAGAATTATGCCCACGCTCATTAATACACGATGATATACTTCTAGGAAATATTGTACTACTGCGAGATTTCATAGATAACTCTCCGCAAACTTTATCATTACAATTATATGTAGACATGTATTTTGCATCGATCGGCTTCATTGTCGTCATCGTCACCGTCGGAGTTTTATGATAAAATAAAAGCGAACTATTAGTATTTACCAGTCTGATGTTATCAAGAGTACAATGTTTTAATGGATATGTTGGAGCAGACAAAGTGGATAGTTTTCTATCCGAATATTTACCATTGCAACGAATGTTGTCAGAATTTGTATTAGTATTATTACTTTCAAAGTTATCGCCATTCACGCAGATGATAGGACAAAGGGAGTTTGAAGTCTCCAACTGTTTATCAGTCATAGTATTTTTGAAACAAGATTTAGATGGACGATCACAGTGATGGTAATATTGATAATTGCTCTCGTGACTACTTGTATTAGTCCCAGTGCAAAATGAACATGAAACTAATAAGTTGGAAAGTAAAGATTTTATACTCTTAGAATGGTTTGGTTTACACACAGGTGAAAATACATTATGAACAAGTTTAGGATATAGTCGTCTACATCGAAAGACAGAAAAAAAGTGATGAGAGTAAAAATGTGCAGAAAAACAATTGCGTCACACACAAGGATAAATAGGGCAATATGTTACACATTATTAATAGTAGGAAAACAAATTGCATACCCATACATGTATATACAGTAGTATCGGAACAGCATATGAAAACAACAATCGGAGAATAACAAGATGTAATGCAACAAATACTTCATCTTAATAAATATTAACATTCTGAACAAAATAAATCAAATGATGATTCCTCAATTAAAAAACAACAAATTATCAACTAACTACCTTTCCAAGTGAACTGGGAGTGAATAAACTTTTCTGTTGATTTGGTGGAATTAAATTGTTCGATACATTCGGTGTTGACGATGAACGTTCTCTACAGGTTAGTGACAAACACTGACGAGGAAAATGTCCACCTCCACTTCCGAAAGATGTTGGAAGATATTGACTATTCAATAGAAGATTATTACTATCGAAACCACCTCCAGTAGAATTAGTCAATACACGAACTGTTGTTAGGTCTTCAGGATTAAAATGATAGAAATGTGTATAGCCTGGTGTTGCATTTGAAGAAACTAACCAATTTGATCCGTGTATAGATGAATTAGAAGTACCCAAAGAGCTATTTATGGAAGGAGAGGTTAATAAATAACTCCAGTATTGAAACAGACAATAATCATGTAACGAAATATGTGAGATATGATGAAGTTCAATCATACAATCCTATGTTAATTAGCAGGTTTTCTTGTCAACCACGTTATTAGACAGCTACACACAATTCCGCTTTACAGAAAAAAGTAAGAACACTTCCCTTAAAATTCCTATGATGAAAAAATTGATTGAAGTGGAGGAAAGTGAAATCTGCCACTTTAATAATGAGGCCTGCTGTAAGTATCTTACTGTTGCTTGAACAAGTGTGAAATCGTGAGTGTTTTTCGATCGGTCAGCATTTCAAGGTCAATCGTGGAATACCAGCCTAGGTTCATAATGTACAAATTGCAAGCAAAATATACTTAAGATTTTGATGGCTTCTAATTTTTGAAAGTCAAATATACAGGATAAACGTTAAGGAACTATTAACAATGACTTACTTTCGACTGCTTAGTTGATCACCAACATAGAAAACATCATCATCTAAATTGGACAAGCAATTCTTATCGACACGCGGAAGACAACGATTATGATAGGCGCAACCACAGGCTTTACATATAGCACCTTTAAATGCAATTTTTTTATACAAACGTATAAACAAATGAAAACAACTTACCATGGAATATAGACTTATGGCATAGATTACAATAAGCCTTTTCAAAAAATGTCTTTCTTTGAAAATGATGTTCTAAACGTTTAAAGTTTCGTCGAGCAAAATCAACTATTAATTCTTCACCAATTAAAGCAATTTGTTCAGCGTCATCTTCCCATGAAACTGGTAGACTAGTTCATTTTTATATTTGAATCCCGAGCAAAATTTCAAAAAAACAAATTATAATAAATGAGGATTTAATCACAAGAGGAATATTTACATGAATAGTAATGGAAAAGTGAAAAATATTCTGCAATATTATGCTCTGAACCTGCAACAGTATAACAACTGATGATCGAGTACTTTGATGAAGACCGTTCATTCGACTACTACAACAAAATGCAGGATACGGGATCCACGAATTACCCATCACTTTCCCATCAAATGTAAATAAACAACCCCATAGGGATATTGAACACTCAGCTATAGGTGACTATATCTTGCAGAGTGAGGAAATGCACTCATCAAAGCATTTTGCGATATAAACTCTACAGTAAAGCAGGAGACGAAACAGTAGCTATTATTATCTACAACATACACTAATTTTAATATTTAAAGACTGATCTTGTCTGATGTAACATGTAAAGCACACAGGAACACGGAATATTCTACTGCTTTCAAAACGTTTAAGTCAATGAGGTAAGAGCAAAGATGATTTCCTAATTCCATGCAATTAATTTACGACTGGTGCAGAGTATCAAACTTAGGAAGTGAGTTAAATACATTTTAAACTTTACGTTATTATGCAGTGAGGAGATACTAAAACGTATTTTTCAAAGTAACAACACTATACAACCTGAAGAACATCATACATGAAAGTAGTTGGTGGAAAATTGAAGACAGTGGGCACACGGTGATCATTATATAGAAAAAATTCGAATGAAACTCAACCTAGCCAATATAATTCAGTTTCAAAAGCGTTTCTATTGCATATTATTGTTACGACACAATATGTTGGCACGTTTGTAAGATTTATACCCAGGACTTATATTTTAACACAACTTTGAGAGATCCTAGCATATATAAGTACGTACTTATAAAATAGTAACCAAGGGAAATAATTACCCTGTACGTGATCGGTAAACAATTAACTGTTCTAAGTGTAGACCACGATGTGATAATTTCTTTTCTAAAGCATGTTTGATTTGTTGTCCAGATTTAATTTCAACTAATGTAAATTGACTGTTTGGGAAGTGTGCACGTAAACGTAATTTTGTTGTTGTTGTTGGGTGAGATGATTTAAACTCAGAAAATTTATTATTAACACTTTGTAGAGTTCCTAAAGATGAATTATCTAGTTGAACTGGGGAGTTGGTTGACGATAAGAATACGGATGGAAGAGACGGAGATTGAGATGACGCAACAATAGGTAATTTAGTTGACCCAAATGTCAAATTGATACTGTCATCCCCATTGTTATTATTATTAAGATTACTAACATTACTACCGTTAGTTGTACTATTAGTACTGTTATTTAACACCACAGTTGTCACCATCATCATATACTGATCAAGTTTCGATTTCCAATCTTCCAGTTCACATGTATACCTATCTATGGCTGATTGAACAATATTAATATCGTTAGAAACCTCATCGTATTCTTTTGTAATTAAACCAGAGAAATCTTCGTGACGATTGATGAAATTTAATAGTTGATAAGTTTTCAATTGTAAGGCCTGATTAACCAAAGTGAAATCTGCTATCTATCAAAAGAAAAAAACCAGGAGCAAAAGTAATGTCTCTAACAAATGATAAAATAGATCAGAATAAGACATCACTTTGTAAAAGTTATAAGTCATTTAAGGAGTTACTATCCGCGAACAACCTGAAAATGCTATAATACTTTCATATTTTAACCAGTGAGAAATTTGCTGTATATCTTACATTGTACCCACACCCCCGTCATTTAGTCGACTAAAAGACTTGTAATCTCTGAGTTGTCACTTTTTAATTGTGCAAATATTGCAATAAAATGTATTTTTCATAAGATTTGACCTGGTCATTCAAATATATCGATCACCTAATTTACATGTTTTATAATAATCTTACAATCTATCGTAAAGCTAAATACTGGGAAATCTAGGTGAAATCACCATAGCTATTTGTGTATTTTCTTCATTTATTCTTTGGAGAGAAGATAAACAGATACGATTGATTTCATGAACAATGTGTATGCATTGTATGATAAAAAAATACATCATATCACATACGTTTATTTCGTGTTTAGGACTCTTCACCTAATCAGTTAAATGACTTTAAATAGGGTGGTTATCATTATTTCAGCTAAAAAGATATTAAATAGTTTACATAAGACCAACAGATAAAGTAACACTTAGTTATGAAACAGTACTAACCTTGCTTTTTAAAGTGTCACATTTTTGTTGGAGAATAGGTATAATAGTTACCGCAGAATCCACGGTCATTGTACAGAATAATTACTTGCAATAATAAGCTTACAATAAACTGACTTGAATTTAAACAGAACAGGTAGAGTTGTTTTTATCCGAAAAAATATAAATAAATAAAAAAGGAGACACAGGATTTTAAAACATTAACTCTAAAATATCAATTTTCTATGTGGTCACAACTAAATTCAATCAGAAATGGAATTTTTGGGAAAATGACCCAACCACATTATGCAAAAACATAATACTTCCAATGAGTTTAATATGTTGTTCCACATTACAAATAGGGGAGAAAAACTATGACATATGAACAATAAACAATAATTGTTGTGACAACGGTAGTGGAGAAATAAAGTATTAGGGACAGAATATTAGACAAAAAGTAGAAAACATAATAAATAGTCAAATGTACATTAAAACAGTGGAAAATGTGCCATCACGATCAAATTTGTGTCAAATTAAGTGGACTCTTATTATTTTCGGATTCCACAAATTCTACATTAGAAAGTACTACCATGTGAGAGCGATGATAAAAAGACGCTCTGTGATCATATAATTGTTATTACTGGGCAGCTGCATCAGTTCAAACACCCGGGTAGTATTTCAGCCCTAGCACAAATCGAATTTATGGGGTGAATATATATTTGGTGTCTCCTTGCACCAACAGTTACGTTTAGTAGTACCATTGTCATGGAAAACCTGAATAGAGATAGCAGAACTACATAAAATGAAGAATATTTATAAATTGAGCACTTTTTCTGGCTACAATATTTATGCCCCGAATGAGTGACTACAGTGGTTCATGTAGAATAAAACATACATTCCATACGTAACTAGATATCATGCAACACAACGAGTGAAGTTAGCTGAAAATAACTAAACAAGCTTTTTGCACTCAAACCGACCTTCTACCAGAGATGAAACACCACAGATAGTACCACCGTTCAAATCAGTCATGTTCATTCATTTCAGTCTTTCTTTTACGATTGACGTTGAGTCGTTGAGATCTATGTGTTCAAACTAGTTACTTTTCAAGAGTGTGTTCAAACGCCAAAGGGATTACCACTAGTTTTTGTTATTTATGACAGACCCATAACCCTTCCTACAGTTAACAAACAAAACACTAGTTTGACATGACAGACGTTTGCTGAAAGTAAAAATTATGAAATAATGTGATTGATGGGTCGCTTTAGTAAGATCTACTAGGCTCTAAACCAGAAGTCTGACTTGAACATTGAGGCTTACCTTTCATACCTCTGACACTACAAGAATAACATAGTGTTCAGAAACGCCGACCTAGAGGTGGTATGCCAATGATAAACTATGGGTACATCTTTTTTATTTGATTACATTTGATTGAATCAGGACAATGATCACTTACGGTCTTACAAAGACACACGATTTCAATGAACAATTCAAACAGGATAGTGACTTAAATCCTAAGCCAAATATGGATCCTTTGGTAGGAACTTATCCATCTATGTCACTTGCCATAAAAAAGAGCGTACAGGTTTAAATGACCTGTATAAACCTAACAACTATTCACATAACACTTCAATCATCCCACGGTATTTAACTGGAAGTCACGTTTAAACTAAGTAATATGTAACCAGTTTTTTTAAATCTTTTCGGTCGACTCAAAAGCTATTTACATTAGTTGGTACACAACTCACCACAATACGTTATATATTTTAGCCGTCAAAGTTTACTACTGGTATTAAACGGGAAGATTCATCAGTTGTGGGTGTGATTATATCTTACTAAACTCCAGAACTTTTATCAAATATGCCTTAACGTTATCATTTGCCAGATATAACTTCAGATCAAAAACGGTGCGGTCAAAAACATTTAACAACCCAAAGTGGGCATTCGTTCCGTCTAGTCCGAAATGTTGGCGACTACTTCACATACAATGTCCAATTTGTTTGTGATCAAGACAATGTTGACAAGTAGACCTTTCTCCGAGAACTTAGTGTGTGAGACAAATTTTCACAGTTAAGCCCGTCTGATTCTTTGAAGGGTTCTATTAGGCTAGTGTGTAAGAGATGTTTGTGTTTTAGTGAGGTTGTCCGGCTAATCCAAGTGGTCTATTTTACATGATTCATCAAGTAGAAAGATGTATTTCCATGCAGATGAAATGGATTTACTGAGAAATAATAACTATTTACATGATCGTTACTCTGTGGTGTGATTCATATCAGTACACAATATGTGGATTCGTGTTACCCAACGTAAGAAAATATAAAGATTTAGGGGTCATTCTAAGCAGTGATCTCAAAACTGTCACTGTGAGGCTACTGCTGCAAAAAGCTGTGGGGTTTTACGGTCTATTCACAGGCCTCCCGAGTATTTGAGTGATGAAATGTTTAGATTATTATACCCGACTTAGGTGCGATATTATTGCAATATGCGATTCAAGCAGCGAGTCCTTGTTTCAGGTATGAGATGGATTTGCTAGGACGCGCCCAACGATGAGGGACTAGGATGGTAGGTCTATCTGGTTGAGACACCTCAACTAATTTCCATTGTCTCACTACAAATTTCGGGTTGATCTAACATTAGTTCACCGTATATTGAACAATGACCTATTGAAGATGCCCCATGTACTCGGAGTTTGACAATCCATTAACCAGTAACACCTTCTATTAGGAAGCGTACTAACCAAGTGAAATCAAAAGACAGAAGCGAGGAGGCTATCAATATACCGAGGATCGTCTGATCTAATCTAACTAGCGATTGCAGGGATGTTGAGCACGGCGTTCCCACGCATGATTTTGTGCGGATGCATGACCGAAAGCCTTAAGCTAAGTGAGTCCATTAAAACTAATGTGGTCAGCATCCAATGTCGAAAACTTACAAGGATATTTATTTTGAGGATTTATTTACCGCTACACTATGTATTAATATGTCTTATCTTTTCCTTCCGTCTAGGACTGATCATTAGAGATCAAATCGTTTACGTCTGAAGTTTCGTTTCTCACACCGAGTAGTGAATTACTGGAATTCTCTGCTACAACACGTAATGTCAGCACCTTCTGTTGGTATAGCCAAAACAAGATTGAAACTCCAGTGTTACAAAGGATTATTATATGTCGATAGACCTCCTATTCTTATTACTGAAAACTGCAGGCTGAAAGGTAATGTTGACCTCAACAGTGTAGATCACCAACGTAGTAATTAGGGGTCTAATTGAGTTAAACAGGAATGGCGTGACCAGCTAACTTCGAATTCGCACATTTTGGTCAGCACCTAACGTGGGTTAAACTGTCGTCGTTGCAAGGTACTATCGCTGCTTTGAAGACAGTATAACACAAAGCATTTTGTTACAGGAATATATTGCTGAGAGTCAGTACAAGGAAGAAGGTGCGACCACCACCGCATGGACCAGTCCATAGCACGCGGTTGCCTAATGTGGGGTTGCTGTCCTTGACGAGGGTCGACGACCTGTTAGTTATTCAATGATCCAACTGCCGGATGGTTTGGCCAGGGCTCGGAGGCATCTCATGTTCTCTACAAGTGCAAGAACACACGAAGGCAGTTGGAGGCTTCCTATTTATTACTCCCCTTATATAACACTATAACCATCCTCTTTTGAAGTTTAGGTGTACGTTAATTACCTGCTAAGAAACACATGAAGAGGGTGCCAAGCGTAAAGTAAACAAGATCCTTATATTACTTTGGGACTATTTGTTGAGCACTATGTCAGGCGATTGAACTGTGTGGATTGAGTGTCCCAGAATCCACTTGATTCTGAAATCTTCGAAGCTTACAGAGCTCAGGTCAACGTGGGAAAAAGTAGGATAGAGAAAATTAAATAAACTTATGACAAACTGAGGGCAACTGAGTTAGAATTCTTTAGTCAACAACTTTGTAACCTTACTGATGGGTGGTATTTGGAGATGAAATGTCTCGCACAGTTCCTTAATAATATACTAACGATGACACTACTCGAGTATTTTGGTAAATAAGTTCGAAAACAAATTAATCGGTGCTCGGAGTTGTTATTGCAGAGGAACTGACTGGCAGTGCTAACGATTATTTGTATAACATAACAGAGAACGGTAAGATACCAGGTCTTATGGGATATTCGCAGATTAAAAGAATTTTCCGCCTTTTTCAATGTGATCTTGAGCTTACTCCATTTCGCTACAGTCAGTCTACAATAAGTGATCAACTTTTACATGGTTATTCTAACCTTAAAGCCGAACGGGGTGGGTGAGAGTTTCGTCAGAAATACGTCACCCTATCAAGACGGTTCGTCAAAGAATGGAAGAACTTAGTTTTCGTAAAATTAAAAACACTGAGTTTGGCGAAATCGAATTTTTTCAACAAATTCGTCAACAAGTCGTACGATCGTCTATAAATGAAATATTTTAACTATTTGTTTCCTGATAACATGCAGTCAAGCTTTAGCTGAGATTGTTTTAATAATAAAGATGCCGTATATATTCAGAGTTCGACAAAGTCTTTATACTTAACAACTTAATAACCAAGCTATGCCAACACCGTGAAATCAAAAATTAGAAATGAAGTGATCCGAAGATAAATTTGAAAGGCTACCGATATACAGATATTTTCGGCTAGTTGAAAGGGTTGCTTTCATCTAGGTCTGTGCAGTAAGACCAGTATGGTTAGCGCCGATGGAGAGGGCCTATAGAACTGTTTATTTTGAAAGTTTATTTACCGATACAATGATGACGAAACATTCTATCCCAAGTATGTATCTGCATGTCAGCTAACGTGATTCTTTGAGCTGCAGCATTGATGTTGTAAATTTTGAAACAATGTAGCTCAAAGAATCAATTGCGCCGACATGTAGATACATACTTGAGCTAGAATGTTTTGACTTTTTTATATGCTTAATACTTCATATTTCGTACAATCGTAACCTGCACGAGGGGCCTGAGTAAATTTAGAATCGATGTCTCTCCAGGCGGTAGATATTCGTATCACAGAGTTGACTTCATCAATAACCATGATAAATGAATGGTACAACCTGAATTCTAGATTTATTCTCG